GATTTTTTTCTCGAATGCACTTATACCTGAAGACGTGCATATACATTTATGTTAACATTCACAACACAGTTTAGCAATAATAAATGATAACAGCTATAGTCTTAGCAACTTTAATAATTTTTTATTTGGAAATCAGACGGTCAATCTAAAACTTCTTAAAAGTGTTTTAGTAGACTCTATAGTATACTACAACGTAGAATTTTTTCAACATTTTTTCATAGCGACTAATACCGTGCCCGAAGGAAGGGGGTTAAAAGAGTTTATTAAGGTAGTATTTTCAATTGAAGAGTTTCCACAGTGTATTTTCAAAATGTTTTAAAATTCATAATTCAATAAAATATTTCGGAAAACGCGGTAAAGTACATACTAAAGGCGCGAATTTCAGATATAATTAATTTTTAAACTGTATACCGAAATACGCTGTTAATGGCTTTATACTAAGTAAAAAAGTTTTGAACTTTTATCGAAATAGGTGCTCTTGTAATACACGCACCCTTAATTTGAACTATAATAACTATAATTTTTAAGTGTCAAGCCTTACTTCAGTTTCAAAGATATAATAAACGCATTTAAATTCAACACGCAATAAACAGCCAGTAGATATTGTGTTTAGTAGTGGTAGTACACTATTTTAAGCAAATGTCCATCAAAAACCTCGTTTCATTTAAGCGTTAATGAGTGCGAAGTAATAAATAAATTAACGAAATTACAAAACACAAATGTGACTTCCTTATTACAAGCAATATTATTAGTTTGTGTATTTAGCCTATTAATGGGGCAGTAAACGACATTATTAAGTTATTTTCTGCAAATTTAACTTCAAAGTCAAAGAAATACCACACTAAACATCAACTATAAAATCGAGTGACATGGGCAATCCGATGTTTGACAAATGCCAGGTGGTGAAAACCTAACCTAGGTTAATTTTAAATTTAAAAAAAAACAAATTTAAAAATACACTGTTCCAAAAAGAATTCCCGCATATGCCATCAAGTGACCCATGCATGGTCCATGGCTTGCCGCAATTCTAAAACGACAGAAGAGAAAAAGGTCTGGTTGACCATGCGGCATGGCCCATGCCACGGTCAAAATTCATTTAAACTCACGAAGCAAACAAGTGTCACCGGCATTTTCGAAAGTTAATGGCGCGTCGTCGATGAAAAATAGACGAGAAAAAATGCGACGTTGCACAAAGGCCGCACCACCGGCATTTGGTACACACATGTCGACACTTTTTCAATGCGAAGAACTGAACGACTCAGTCTGCTCTCCTTGTTCTTTTTTGTTCTCTTTTTCCTTCTGGGTTTTTTAACCATCATAGGAAGTTTAGAGGCATAAACATTTAACTAAGAGTGATTATTATTATGCCTGCTGGATGACAGATATATCGCTTTAAGTATGGCTTAATTGTCGAACACTTTTATTTTGTTAACACTTTTAGATGGTTTTTATCTTTTGACTAGATGCACCTATAATAAATCATACATTGCTCGTTTTTTTTTATTAATAACATAAATATTATATTGCGTGTCTCACCCTTAATTTCTGGGGTTATTAATCAACCCATCGACTTAAAATTTTATACATTAATTCTTTTTTCTACTCCCACCTTCAAAACGCCCACTATAGTGATATTTTCCATGACACTAAGCGACCTTTTAAATACACAATAACAAGTTGTGGCTTTATGGCGCTTTAGTCACAAGCTGAATATAGCAACAGGTTTTTAGTCACGGGCTGAAGTTAGTTTTAATTTAGTTGACAGTTGTCAAAAGTCATACAATCGTTAAAATAAAGTGCCTTTCTTATAAAATAATACTAAATGTAAAAATTATTTTATTATCTCAATACCAAGAAAACAAAAGTATGTATTAAATAGTTTCTTGGTGCCAATATTTCAAAAGATTATATGAACGTTTGTACTGACCTTTTGATTTCGCCGAGGTATTGCAGTTAACTAGATTAAAAAATTGAGATTTTAACGCCGGTATAGATTCCCAAGTTAGAAATTCTAACGAGTATTCCAGTAAATACAACTGTCACTATTTGTACCTGTGTAAGAATGTTTAATACTTTGTGATAATATTTTGCAATTATAGTAGTAAAAAAATCAAAGAAAAAAATATGTTCTTAACATAACCATATTTTGAAGTTATTTTAATATTTTAAAGTATCAATAATTATAATTGTTAAGTTTAATTAAACAATAACGGGCAATGTTAATGGTGAAAATTCACTTTATTTTTGTATAGATGTCGCTTTATACAAATATTTCATTTAAATCATTTTTTAGTTAATATTAAGTATTTGTCGTAAAAAAAGTATAGTATGCAACTCGTTTATAAACTTTTCTAGGCACTCATGTAATTAAGCACTCACTCGCAAGCTTGCTCGTGCCTAAATTATATTCGTGACTAAAATGGCGTTTATCAAACTTGATACATAATATACTATTATTTTTAATAAATTAAGTTTATCTCGTATTATAATAAATAATAAAAATAAATAAAATGTAAAAACTTATTCATGTAATTAGGCCCTGTGCCTGTGGGATATTAATAAATAAATAAATTATAATAAATAATAAAAATAAATACAATGTAAAAAACTTATTCCTGTAATTAGACCCTGTGCAAGTGGGATATGAATAAATAAATAGACGAACTTTGAACTAAAATAAACCGTGCGCGCGGAATTGTGCTCAGACACTGACCTGTAACTTTGACCTTTTTTCCTTAAAACTTTAAGGTTTAATTATAGTTTAGAGTTATAACAATAAGTCTTTATCTATGTGTAAAGTTTGATTTTGGGTATTTTTATGTGTAGAGCAGTATGGCAATGCTGGATTAATTGTGAACCTGCATAACCTAAAATTACCTGATTTTAAAACTTAATTTTTCGCAATTTATGACATTGTTTTTCATAATTCGAGCTTTATTTACTTACACTTTCGAATTCTAGATACCTACGCGTATTTGGCACGCAAATTGCTATTTTACACAAAAAATCGCGGTAAGTCATGACGTTTAATTATCAGCCAATTTTTTTATTAATTTTGTACTTTTACGCCCCCGCCCACCAAAGATAATACCCACACTAGGGGTGTCAATCCCGGGATCCCGAAATCCCGGTGTCCCGGGATCCCGTAAAAAATCCGATCCCGAAAATCCCGGGATTAAAAGACCCAATCCCGGGATCTTAGTAATAAGTTACAAAGAATAAAATAGACTTTTTTTAAGCGTATGACATTTTTTATATTATATTACTCATAAGCATATATATAAACACTTCATTTTTTTACTCAGTTCAAGTCAAATTATTATACACCGCCGTACAATAATCCAAATACATTGAAATAACATAGCAAGAGTTGTTCCATCTATAGTATAAAATCAGCAAAGAAAATGTAAAATTACAGGTCACTGTAGAATAAATTTATGTACATAACCTATAATATAACAGATTTCAAACGTCAAACCTGAAAAAATGTCACAAATTGATAATTTCAATGTAAGTTACAGCCCCAATTGGAACTCACCAAGGCCCGATTGATAAAAGAAATGGAATTATTTCTTAATAGGGGTAAACGTGGGTAAAATGTGCCTACGAATTCTTGAAAACCATTCTTTCGATTAGTGTGAAGTCCGAACGATATCGTTCGTTAGTTTGTTTGTTGTTTTATTTTAAATTGGTTTTAAAATTAATGATATATATTTTTTCGGGACTGATCCCGGGATCCCGGGATTAGTTACCTTTGGTCCCGAAAGGCCCGGGATTGGAAAATGGGCTCGGGATTGACACCCCTAACCCACACCTATTTTTTGAATTTTGGAAAAGTCGCTAAAGTGTAAATTTAATAATAAGAACCATTTGGTCAACATTGGACATCTGTCAAACATTAGTTGGTAAAAAGTTTTTGATAGCAATCTTTAGGATCTTGCCACAGAAATATTTCTGCAGAAAATGGATCTTGCTCGATAGGCGTAAAAAATCGTGAACGACAAATTCGTCGGTTAAAGAATTTCGGTCGATCGAACAATTAAAAGCAGCATCACTCGAAAATAAGCATATCGTGGACTCAGTGCCCCGTAATCTTGATCAATTCGTTATGCCCGTTTTGTCACAAAACGCGCCGGACCTCCGTGGTCGCAGTGCGCCATGCAACCGGCCCACCTACCACAGCCACCTTGTGTTTTATTGTCGTGCGTTTTGTTTTTATCTGTTTCTTTTTTTTATTTGACGCGATAGCCCGTCCGGATTAAATGCCTTACAACTATATAAAACCCGATGACTCTTATCAATACGACAATTTGTTTGCTCAAAGAATACATATGTTATGTTATGCTTACTATTTGATTTTACTTCTTGTAAATACCATGGTTTTGTCCGTGTCGAACATGCACAGATTTTCAGGCCACCCAGACACTTCTTGCACTGAATAATTGTTTTACTGTTTTTATCTGTTTCTTTTTTTATTTGACGCGATAGCCCGTCCGGATTAAATGCCTTACAACTATATAAAACCCGATGACTCTTATCAATACGACAATTTGTTTGCTCAAAGAATACATATGTTATGTTATGCTTACTATTTGATTTTACTTCTTGTAAATACCATGGTTTTGTCCGTGTCGAACATGCACAGATTTTCAGGCCACCCAGACACTTCTTGCACTGAATAATTGTTTTACTTGTTCACTGTCAATTGTTACCAAAACAACACTTAAAATCTTTTTAAATGACAAAAACATTTACGAAATAACATCATCAGTCATTTGTAACCATAGAGAACATGTGTCATAAACAAAAAATATTTTAAAACTGTCAAACCAACTAACGCCATCTCTGTAAAAATAAATTTATCAAGCACAATTATTTAAATATTAAAACTAAAAACAGTCCTATACAAAATAATACTAAAAGAATCTTAAAATAATAATTTAAAAATATTTATTTCATTTTATATCAAGTAAATTAAGATTTCTCAATCTTTTTTTCAGACTCAGTGGTGATCCAGCTTGCAGCCCGCAGAGCGGTCATTCCTCCTCGACGTGCGGATCGCCGCCTGCGACCGCCGCCACCGCCTCCTCTGTTCATACGTCGGACCCTCTCTCAACCTCCGCATCCACGTGTATATCCTCCTCAAATTTCACTCCATCGTGGTCTCTACTCGAAACTCAAGGTATGTGTTTTAGTTTTTTAAGCATTTCTCGAAATAGTTTAATATTCTAAAATAATTAGTATAATATATTAGTATACGATATATATATATATATCGTAGAGCCATGTTTTATTGATAATTTTTTTTTATTTCGTGCTAAAATATCGAATGGTTTTTGCTCAAAGAAAAAATATCTTAATTTGACGATGTTTTAATGTTTTATCAAGATAGCGATTTAAAGTTTAAAAATATTATTATTATGATTTCTCAAATTCAACTTTCTATCTTATTTATTTTTTGAGATACAAGCATTTGAAGTAAAGCGACTCATTTTTCTTATATCGTCCACCTCTAACGATACAAAATAACTCGCTTCCCCTGTCGGTTGCCATAGCAACGCCAAGGTGGGTTAATTAGTCGTGCATTCTGCACACGTACGAATCGCAATTATAATTAAACAGGGAAGATCATCCCTTTAAATTATCCTGCGTGATTTGAAGGGGCTAAATTATTATTATTATTTCGACCAACCCTCGATAACAAAAGAATGCAGCGGAAAAGCTAACGAGATTATCTGCGTTGTTTTTAATTACGTTGTTTTTTTTGTTTTCAGGAGTTAAAAGTGAGCTTAGAAGCCCCGGACTGGCGGATAGCGACGTTGCCGCTTTGTCGCAAGATCCTTCGAGTTTTTACGGTTCTGCCGTCGATTTAGGCAACGTCTACGATAAGGATTATCCACAAAGTTACTCAACTGCTCACCAGTATTATAATAGGTAAGTCAACTAAAGTTTATAATACAATTTAAGAATGTTTCTTACAAACATTTATATATTTTTTCAGTATGCAACAAGCTTACGGCTCAACAAACCACGCGGCAGCTTCCTATATGAACTCCTCCTCCTTCTACAACCCCTCCTCCTACCCGTACTCCCCCCTAACCACATCCAGGGGCCTAAATCCAGCCTGCAAAGCCAGCACAGGCTACATAGCATCACCATACACCTCCCCCACATCACCTTTCCAAACCACCGGACAATCAACGCAATACTCGCCTTATGCAACCTACAACACACCTGGAACGTCGACTTTTGCACAAGGCTTTTCCGCGCAAGGCGTCGATTACGGCGCATACGGCTCTACGTACACGGACTCGCAAACCTCGCAGTACACGCCGAGTTATTACGCATCGCAAACTTACTCGCCCTACGTTAGTTCGCCTAGTTCTAGCGGGAGCATAGGCAACTCAACGTACCAACTCGCCGCCACTACTTTACCCGGTAAGTTGACATCTAGAAGTCTTTAGTCTACGGGAAATCTATGTTGTTTTAGTCTAAGGTTGATTTGATGAAATGTCAGCGTGTTGCCAAGTTTCAGTTTCATTTGCATAATTTGTATTATTTTTTGTTATTTAGAAAGATGATTTTCATAAAATAAACGGTTTTTACATTAAATTAAACAATATTATAGTTTTGTTTTTAATAAAGATTGATTTCAATCAATATAAAACTTGTGTCTTTCATATAAAGCAATTTTCAACATGGCGTTTTATTTGACGTTTAATTAATCAATAATAATTTGAGGTTAAAATTTTAACATGTAAACAATTCTTCCTTATACTGTTTTTTTACGATGTTGTGCCCTTATAGCGACACAAGCGACTCAGATTCTGATGGTACACCGTTAAAGTAACATACTTAACAATTTGTTTTCATTAATTTATTTTAGAAAGCCCCTCTAATGGTATAAGTTTGGGAGATGGGTCAACATCCCCCTTAAAAGCTGATAGTGCACGTAGATCCAGGGATTCCGCCGGAAGTATAGGTCCGGAAATAAGGGGAACTAGGGGTAGAGGAAGGAGAACTAACACGGTTTCTCCTACAACCCCTGAATCCACAACTGATAGAGTTTTTATATGGGATTTAGATGAGACAATTATTATATTTCATAGCTTGTTAACAGGGGGGTATGCTTCAAAATACCAAAAAGTAAGTCATTATAACTATTAAAAAAATGGTTTATTGTATTGTTTTGGTTTTAGGATGCTCAAAATGTAGTGCAGTTGGGTTTTAAAATGGAAGAAATGGTTTTTAATTTAGCTGACACACATTTCTTTTTTAATGATATTGAGGTAGATTTTATAACATTTATAGTATTGAATTATGTATAATTAACACTTGTTTTGTTTAGGAGTGTGATCAAGTACATATAGATGATGTTTCATCTGATGATAATGGGCAGGATTTAACAAATTATAATTTTACTACTGATGGATTTCATGCAGCAGGTTCGGGTAGTGGCAATTTATGTTTAGCTTCAGGGGTTCGAGGGGGTGTTGACTGGATGAGAAAACTTGCATTTAGATACAGAAAAATCAAAGAAACATATAATAATTATAGAAACAGGTAAATATACAATTTAAATCATTTTTAACCTTTTACTAATATGTTTATTATTTTTTTAGTGTTGGGGGATTGTTAGGAGCTTCCAAAAGGGAACAATGGCTTCAATTAAGATCCGAAATAGAAACTATGACAGATAACTGGCTTACTTTAGCCAATAAATGTTTAACGTTAATAAATTCTAGAAGTAACTGTGTAAATGTCTTAGTAACTACAACACAACTAATTCCAGCTCTAGCTAAAGTATTATTGTTTGGATTGGGTGGAGTTTTTCCCATTGATAATATTTATTCTGCAACAAAAATAGGTGGGTAAATTTATTTTTTACCATAATCCAAGATCCTGATTAAATTTGATAATTAAATTTAACTAATTGGCCTATCAAAGCATTTCTAACTTCGTTTAAAAGATATTAAGAAAAATAAATGAAGTTTTCAAATTAAAGAAAAAAAAATATTAATATCATTAAGTAATTTAGGCGACGCAGATTACTCGTGGACGTAATACCGGTTGCGTTATGCGTTTTTTACGTATTTTGCAATTATCCCACAGGAACTATTTTGTCTTAATAAAAAATAGCCTATGTCACTCTCCAGCCCATAACCTATCTCCCTAAACAAAAAATTAGATCTACCTGTTACTTTCTTGCAATAACCAATAAACACACTTTTGCTTTTATAATATTGCATGATTTTTTTCTTTTAAGGTAAAGAGAGTTGTTTTGAGAGGATTGTGACCAGGTTTGGAAGAAAATGTACTTATGTAGTGATTGGTGATGGTCCAGATGAAGAGGCTGCAGCAAAATCCCTAACATTTCCATTTTGGAGAATTACGTCTCATAGTGAAATAGCGGCTCTCTACAATGCTCTTGATATGGACTTTTTATGATTCGATTTTTTTAAATGTTTTTAAGTTCAATGTATAAATTGTACATAAAATATATGACATTATGTATGTAATAAATGTAAGAATAATCAAGTCATTGTGATTGGAGATATTTTTTATTTATTTTATGTATGTATTTTTTAGAAATTATTTATAATCAAATGACAATACTAAGAAAACAGTTTAAAATCTTAATTTTAACACTGTATGCATACATTTAAATTATGCTTTAATAAAAAAAATACATTTTAAAGTGCCAATAATCACAAAAATATCGAATTGTTCAAACGCATTTATTATAATAGAAAAAGAGGCAATTACCAAATGTTTTAATTGATTTTTGTATTATACAAAATTATAGTACATATTATAAGTGTATAAAATTGATGAATAAAATTGTATATATTATTTTTTGTCTTTAATTTATCCAATAATTTAAATTTCTTGAAACTTTTTGTTGCAAAGATTTTGAAAAAAGAATACTTTTAGGGGTATAAAACATATATTAAGATATCACAAATCATTTATAACAGCAAAAAACTATATATTAAATATTAAATGCATTATAATTACAATAAAGCTCACTTATTATACCATAAAAACTTGTTCTGAAAGCCATATAAAAAATAACATAATTTAAAAGAATTTAACACCCTGATCTTCATCTGACAAAATCAATTCACATTTTCTTTGCTCTTCAAGAGTTTTTAGTGCTTTTATTAAAACATCAGTATGCAACCCATGAAACTCTTCCTGGGATTCTCCCTGATTCAACTCAAACAACGTCATGACAGAATTCGTTAAACCGTTGCTTGTTACATAATCGTGGATAATTGAACCCCATTCTTCCAATGTATGCCAATATATCTCCCATCGATTCTTACTTTTATCCACAGCAGCAGCATTGCCGGTTTTCTGTAGTTCACCCAGAATAGAAACTATAACACCCGATTCTAACTTTCTATTAATGGCCGAGTTATTAAATAAAGGCAACTGATCTGCCTCTCGTATATCAACAATACATACTTTGTTTTTCTTACAGTAATCGAGAATTAACGATTTCCAGGCTGCTACTTGTTTTGATCTTGTTTCAGGATGGGGCTGTAGCGTAAAAAACGGCGGAAAACTGTATTGCCACGGCCATTCTATATCAATTTCAGACATGTTTGTGTTTGGGTTAACCTAAAAGTTATCTGTCAAAGTCAATTAATAAATAAACATCCAAAAAGCATTGTTTTATTAATAAAATTGAGTATAAAATTTTTTACCTTTTAGTTGTGACGTATTTATAGTGTATAAATCGTTCAAATATTAGTATACAAACGTATACACGGAATTTTGTCACTTGACAGTTCGTCTTCTTCTTTTTTGATCAAAGAGTAGATACATTGGATACATTGAATACATTTGGACTACATTAAATGTAGACACATTTTATCAATTGGAAAATAGTTAATACGGTGCAAAGGCGCGAAATTCAAAGTAGGAAAAACGATTTCGTTGAACAAAATTTGTATAAGATCATAATTGTTATAGGGATCATTTGCATGGAGCTCGATGATCTTTTGGTTAAATGTATTTTAATTATTAAATAATACTCAAAACTACCTATGTAAAAAAACCACTAACCATGCTAATTTATATGTATTAACGATTTAAATTAATTTGGAATTAATTAAACAGTACAAATTCCAAAAGTGCGAAAGCATTTTTTTAATACCTAAGTAGGTTAATTGTTTTTTTAAGTACCTAGCCAAATATTCTTAAAATAGAAAGAAATATTCGGAATCTCTGGCAATGGCTCGCAATTAGTAACAACACACGAATAAAAACTGTTTATTTTATGTAATAATTCCTATAAAACTTGGTAGAATTCCAAAAAAACATTTGTTTGTAGGTTATGTGCTGCTAGTGCATGTTTAAAGTGTATTCAGAGATAAAGAAGGTTGAGTGTATTGTTTAAAAATTCGTTAATAATTATTATATAATTATAATAATTGCAATTGTGTGTAATGGTTAACATTCCGAGTGTGGTAAGTCAAAATACAGATAACAGTTTATACGTTTTATTTGTTTAATACGTTTGGTTAAGAGTTTTGCTATGAATACTAAGGAAGAAAGTAGTCAGGTAATCTATAAAGTGTATTATAAATAAAGATTATTAATTTTTTGACCTACAATTAAATTAAATTGGATATTTATTAATTATTTATTAAGGTTATGTATTGCAAATCTCAAGTTCAAATCAAGGTTTCATGTAATTTTATTAGTTTTTTTATTTATAGGGAATCCCCTTGGCCCTTGGGGTTGGTGTTGTGGTTGTTTCGGCCGTTATTTACCATTTATACTTCTCAAAGCCATCAAAATCGTCAAAAGGTAATTTTACAGCTAAAAACTATTAAAAACACTACCAAACAACAAATGTTTTATAGGTAAAGGCAATAAAGTATTATTGGAAGACGCACAGGCAAAATATAAGCTTCCTTTAATAGAAAAAGAGGAAATTAGTCATGATACAAGACGTTTTAGATTTGCTTTACCATCTAAAGAACATGTTTTAGGTAATATTAGCTTAATTATTAAGTAGCATTGCATTAAAACGTCATTTTTAGGGCTTCCGATTGGCCAACACATTCATTTGTCTGCCAGAATTGATGATGACTTGATTATTAGGTCTTACACACCTGTTTCTTCTGATGATGATCTAGGATATGTTGATTTAGTCATTAAGGTAGATTTTTGTGTGTTTTTAAATTTAAACTTTGTTTACATTTATGGTTTCTTAGGTATATTTTAAAAATGTGCACCCCAAATTCCCTGATGGGGGAAAAATGACACAGCACCTTGAAAGTCTTAAAATAGGGGATACAATTGATATACGAGGACCTTCAGGTAGACTTCAGTACATGGGACATGGTCAATTCTCCATTAAAAAAATGAGGAAGGACCCCCCAACTAACTTGAAGGTTAAAAAAGTCAGTATGATTGCTGGTGGGGTAGGAATTACCCCATTATTGCAGTTAATCAGGCATATCTTGAAAGATAGCAGTGATAAAACTGAGTTGAAATTGATTTTTGCAAATCAAACAGAGAAAGATATTTTGGTTCGTAAGGAGCTTGAAGAGGTACAAGCACAGCACCCTGAGCAGTTTAAATTGTGGTATACCCTTGATGTGTCTACTGATGGTAAGTTTTTTTTCATAAAATAATTTGTATTTGTATAATATTTTTTTCCAGGTTGGGAATATGCTACAGGTTTTATTAATGAGAAAATGTTGAAAGAACATTTATTTCCTCCAAGTGAAGATAACATTATTTTGATGTGTGGCCCCCCTCCAATGATCAACTTTGCCTGTCTCCCCAATTTGGAGAAATTGGGTCATTCAAAGGATTTATGTTTTGCTTATTAAGTGCAAATATATTTATTTATTTTGACGTAAAAATAGCATTTACAATAAAATTTGCATTGATATGGCTATTTTCCATTTAACTTAATATTCCATATTTAATTTTAGGGTATGTTACTTTTCCTTGTAGTTGTTATGTAGATATTTATACGGTTTTTAATGAATGTTACAACTCCTCTTCAACAATATTGTTTTAATAAAAAATCATCACAGAAACAGGTTATTTTTAGTATTGAACGACGATTTTTTTAGACATGAAGATTTTGGTAAATGTTTCATATCGCGGCATTTTTTGAAAAACTAGAGGGAGGTTGTTTCTAACTATTTTATTACCCAAATATTAATTCTTAGAATTTATAAAATCCGTGAAGCTCCGCATCAAAAAGTTAAACTTTGACATTTGTGTTGATTTTGTCTTATTTTCTAAAAATACAAAAAAATACATGTATTCGTTAATAATTATTTAACTTGCATGCAAACGTAATACAAACGCGTTATTCCAGGGGAACTACTTACAAATCCTTAATAAAGATCTTTGTTTAAAAAGATATAATATTATCCCGTATAATCTAGTGGCTCACACCACAGTATAAATAATGATTTATACTGTGCTCACACCTATGTGACTAGGGTTCGATTACCGGTACCAGTCTGGTACTACCAGAATACTTTTTTGTAATTTTTTTCTGTCTCACTTGAGAAAAATAGTTACTCCATTTTATAAAAAATGATATTTTATGGTCGGATTACCTTAATACACTTCACACTATGGTTTTAAAGTGTCGAAAAAAACCGCAAAAATTGGGGAAAAAATGTTTTTTTCGTTTTTTTTTCCAGCTCTTGGAAAAATTGGCTTTTTGAGATTTTTTTTAACACATTTAAAAAAAATGCAGTAAACAACTTATTATTTAAAAAAATTCCTTTATTACAGAAAAAAACATTTAATTGAATTAAGAAAATAAACGTGATCGTTAAATATACTGTCGATTGTGCCTTTTTTATTATAAATTTATAATTAATCAAGTAATTAATGATATAAGTAATTAAATTTTTAAAAAATAAGTGCCAAATAAAACGAAAGTTATGTTAATACAGCACCGAATATGTATTTTTGCGGCCCGGTAGAATATTCTTAACAGAAAAGGAATAATTATTATAATTATAATATTGTAGAATTTTAAACAGCGTCGGAAATTTACCTTTTTTACAGATATTGTCCGCAAAAATTTGTAAATTTTTAGAAAAATTGACTTTTGCAAAAGGACCTTTTTTCTTTTGCAAAAGGTACCTTTTTTCGTTTGCATTATTTAAATTTATTAATAACCACTACTAAACGCTCTTTATTAGAACCCTTTGTAGGACCTTTAACCAGCCATATCAGAACCTTTAGCGCGCCCTATACAAGTCGTAAAATGTAAAAATGCTGCCTAACTTTTTTATATTTCCGTATACATAAGATGGATAGCGTTTATCGAAAAGGAACCAAGCATCTAAAATTTTTTCTAGGGTAAACAAAATTATTTGCAAAATAAGTCGCTTTTAATGGTGCTTAAAAAATTAATAAGGATTTCCTTTCCTTTTGAGAAAACTTCCAATGATCAACCTTTTGAGCACTATTAAAAATGAGTTACCTATTTTACAAATAATTTTACTAAGCCCAGAAAAAAATCTTGGCACTTGGTTCCTTTTCAATAAGTGTTATCCAGATGTAAATTATAAAAAAGACAGCAGAAATGAAGACTTAATTTTTTATTAAATAATACTTACATCGCAACATATTTTACAAAAGATAAGGTGTCTGTAAACAGCTCCTATGGCATCATTACAAAAAAATATAATAGAGGAAAGAAAAAAATAGTACATGTTTTATTTATACAAATTTTACTAATAGGGAAAAATTGGTGAACTTTTACTGAGGCTGTCTAAAACAATAAAACTCCACTAATTTTCATAAATTAACATTATTTATTTGATAAAAATCTATTTTTTCCAATCGTCCTTTTCATAGTCCCATTTGGAGGCAATACCCTCAATAGGATTGCCTTGTAAGTCAATAATACGCCTTAATTGGGCCTCCCTGTTTTCAGGCTTAAAGCTGTCTGGAATTGGCGCATAAACTAAAAGAAAACAATTAATTTTGTATTTTTTTATGATTATGTAATACATACCGAACATTTTTAAGCCAAAGTATAACCAAATGGCCATTGAAGTTAAAGCTAAACCTACACCAATTACAGACTTCCATTCACCAGTAGGTGCTTTGAATTCAGCAAAAGTCTGACAGAAAGAAGCTCTGTACAAAGCTTTCTTTTCTTCAATAGACAGTTTGTTCCAGTCGCCCTTTTCTTTCTCTCTTAAAGCCTAAAACAATACAAATTAGCAACAAAAACCCTTAATAAACCCTCAAAAACACTTGCAGAGATATCAGCAGAGCATTCCTTCCATCTGATAGCTGGTAAGGGGAAGTCTGACCTGTCAACATAATTTGGTTCTCCGTTGTAACCATAACCCACAACTTCTCTGGAGCCAATCAACGTTTTTACGTAGCTGCTCATTGGACGAGCGCCGTTGATGGGGCGCATTGCCCTCGCGGCACTAATTGCCAAAAACTTGCCAGCCATTATCTGAAAAACGAAGACCGTAAATTAAGGTTATGTCCAGGTTATGTAATCTGTCAAAATCAAGCAGTTATTCGCATTATTTCTTGTAAAAGCACAAAATCATACACAAAGTACATTTAATTGTTGCCAATGTTTATATTAACTCGTTAAATTTCAAAATTTAATAATTATTTGACTTTGACGACAACTATTGATTAGGTAATCACTTCACAACAACGAAAGTCAGTTAGACTATTATTTACAACAATATAGTTGTTGTTAATTACCAGTATTAAAGGCACTTAAAAACTACAAAATAAAATAATTTCATTATTTTCTAAACTCACCTTCCCACTGTACAAAATGGCGAAGTAAAATTTGTAGAGGGAGCCACTAACGTCCAGGCACTAAACTACCAAATGCGCATGAAGGAAACACGTGATAATAATAAAATAAAATGCATGATTTTTACTAATAAACATTGAATAATATCCTTTAACATAAAGATATACACACAGAAAGCAACACTATTTATTAAAACAAAATTTAATTTTACTAAAGGCAACAATACATTTCAAGAAATCTTGGTTGCATAAGTGTAAAATTATAAGTTTTAAAATTTGTTACCATTTTGTTTAAAAACAATTTATATATAACTCAAAGCCTTATCAATTTATAAACAACATTTAAAAAATTAAAACAACTACAACGTAAAATATCTTTATCACGTCCAAATTCCATACAAATACTTATGTAATTCGTTCATTCATCCTTATCCAATAAATCTTATCAATCAAAGATTGCAGTTCTAATTATATTTACAGATTAATTAAATATTTGCTTTACCCCCTCTTTCGTGTGGTTAGGTTGCCACAACTTATTCGCGTGCGTTTTATTTTAGGTTGTTGGTAGTTCTTGTTATTGACGTTGATGACCTTGTGTTGTTAAGAGGTTGTGTTTTTAGTCTTTGTATTTTCGGTTAATGTTCCTTTTCTATATTTAGTAATAGTTTTAGTGGATCTTTCGTTTAATACAAAGGTAATTATGTTGTAAAGTTAAAATGTGATTTGCAGGTTATATTTAGAGAATTTTCATTTATAAAAGTGCTCGTGGTTTTGCCTTATCAAAAAACTCGAAACCATTGTGTTTTATGACTTATTTATTTACAAAATACTTAAGTTAAATTGCTTAAACATTATTTTGAGACATAATTTCATTAAAAAGACATAAGCTGTTATTATATTTTGCACAAAAGAAAATCACAGATGTTGGGGCATTTATTAATGAATACCAATAACCTAAATAATATTAATTGCTAATTTTAATATTACAGATGGCTGCTGTTGGTGATTTGTGGGTCTCTTGGTTTAGCTGTTGCGTAGCCCAGCCCCAGAAGAGAAGACATCGAATAGATAGGTAAGATAAACAAAAAACTCTTTGACAATGTTTGAGGTTCCTAAAAAGTGTGTTATATGTGATAAATAAGTGGTTTGTGAGGTGTAATCTTGATAAAATGCAAGTTTTACTGTTTATAGAGTTATTTATAAAATTTGGGTGAGTCATTAGTGTTTAAATTAATTTTATCATTGTTTGAATAATTTTAGGCGAAAAAATGCAATGAATAATGGCATAATTTCTTTATTATTAAGTAACACATTAATATAAAACGCTATTGTTTAATAATTATAAATTCTTTTGCATAACTAGGTATAACTAAAGTCTGGGAAAAATTGTAATTGTTGTTTATTATTGTGCTATTAAATTATAGTTATTATGTGATTAAAATGAGCATAATACGTTTAATTGTACAAATATATAGACTGAAATTAGCTAGGTATATGAGATTTGTTTAGAAAATAATTATGTACTCAATTTAAAACGAATTTTAAACCACAGAACTATAATTTTTATAACTTTATTTAACTTAATAAAAATTATTGTGAAAGTGCATTTTGTTGTCAAAAGGCTTACCAACCTTAATATAAACTTGTAAAGTATATATGTACGTACATACTATGTAATACAGAGCTCAAAGGTTTATAAATGCAGTTAAAACAACGGTGTTTTATAAAAATCTCATGTTTATGTTTTGTGGTAATATTTTAGAATTTAATCATGAGAGAATATTTTACATTGTATTCTCAAAAAATAATACGCAACAAAAGCGCGGTCAAGGTTATATGAGACAGTAAGTTACATTGTATAAAATAAAAAATCGCGTACCTACATTAAATGGGAACTAAACGACCTTTTGATTAAAATACTTAAAGGTAGCGTGCTTAAAAATCGCATAGGTTTTTAAATTAAAACAACAAATGTTTTAATATGATAATGACCCAAGACAGTATAATGAACTATCTTTAATAAATAATAAAAATGTGATTCATTGATATGGTACTTAAAACTCATTTAATTTTTTGTTTCCATATTTGGTATTGTCACAAAACTTAAGTTTGCAAAAACAAAACTTAGCACAAAACCAACAAAGACACAAATCCTTATTAATATTCCACTCAGTAAAAGAAAATACATGTCATTGTATTAATTATTAATCCTATATAATATATATCCTATATAATATATATACATATTATGTTATCAAAATTAATAGATACTTAAGTAACTTAAAAAACCTACACAATTACGTCCACTTTCTTTTACCAATAAACCATTCAAAGAAAGTGATATTTACCAATATTTCGCGAAAATATTACGCAATTTATAATTACATTTTCTTCCGTCTCATTGGCTTGGTTGACATGCAAAAAATGGTTTAAGTGTTAAAACTTACCTAAACAAAAGGAAGTTAATAAATAATTCAAGTACAAGTTAAATATTAATTCATTCAAATAAATTAAGATTAAGGCGATGAATAATAATAATAAAAAAAATCACCGGAAATTACTGCTTCTTTAGTATTCTTTAAGTGTTTCTACAGTTTCTATAGTATACAGTATACAGAGCTTCTTAAAGAACAGATAAGAACTGTTAAATATTTTAATAATGCATATGATTTATTATAAGAGAGAAAAACATAATTATGATGTTTTATTAAGGGGGGTGACAAAATATAAATAATAAATTTTACATAAATAATAATTCTTTTCTTCCGATCGCAGTTCAAATATTTTAAGGGATTAATTTTACTTTAGGCGCCTCCAGACCAATTTGTGAGGTAGATAAGTCATAAAAAAGATAATAAAATTCTTGAGACTTATTTTAATACCCTAATAATCTATATTTTTAAGTACATACCTAGTAGGTATACCTACCTATGTGTATATTCAATTATTTATAAAAGATAGGTATTGCGTGAAAGTTAAGACAAAATAAAATAAATATAAAAACGTCAATTTACAGAAATTCAACTTTCTTTCTTAATTTATAAGAATGGTTTTTAAGTAAGTTAAATATTTATTTCAAAGGTAGTAAACTTTTAAACCCTGTAGGTAATTAAATTTGATTATGATAAAGAAGGCTTGGAAAAAGCCATGACTTATAAAAAAGTAAACAAAGTCAGACTTTTTGAATTAATAACTTACAAAATAGTAGTTTGAAAATACAAACTCAAAAATTGGAAATATTTCTTTTATTTGAAAAAAAAAATACAAAGGTCAAAATATGTTTTAAAGAAAATCCATTTTAACGATTGTTATTTTTTTTAAATAATTAATAAATTTTGTTTAATACAATATTTAAATTTTATTTTTTTACGGCCTCCACCGTAAAATATTTTGTGGATATCTTAAGAAATTCTAAGAAGATTTTCTCTTAACAATTTTTTGAAATTCCTAATCAAGATATAGCACTTTTTGGTAAGCCAATCAGATCGTGCCATTTTCATTGTTCATGTTAAATTTATTTTAATAAAATTTTCCAAAAATAGTATTAAATTGCAATTACATGCTGTAGATTGAATGTTAATCAAAAATATATAAATTAAAGTGGTGAAGCATCATATTTCACCCGTTTCCCAATGCAATTAAATTAAATTAATTCATGAGGTTTTTGAAAAGAGACGTTTGATTTAATTCACCGACCCGGTGGTACAGAATGTTGATAATTAGGTACTATAAATTTGGTTTCGTTTGAATAATTTTAAAAACAAACATTAAATTTGAAATTTATTTTGATAAATATTGTTTATATCATATAAAAGTATTAAGTATTAAGTAATTAGCAAATGACATGTTAAATAATAATACTACTAAAGTAAACAAATAACCTTATTATAATAAATACATGATTTCTACGAAATTTTTTATCGGGAAAAATATTTCGTAACCGATTAATTTAATAACATTTAATTAAATGCAATGGCGCTTTCTAGTTTCACTGCTCTATATTTTAAACGTTCATGACCTCACAAAGTAATGGGACCTCTTAATTTATCATCAAGAAGGAAAGTATAATGATTTTTTATTGCGTCATTGCTTTAAAAAGAAAATAAAAAGTGCAATTAAAAGAACGGTGATGTAATGATGTCCAGTTCTTGAAGATATTTTATATAAATAAGATTATTACAAGCTATACCATTTTTTAATTTAAATTTTATTTTGTTATTTTAATGTTTTGAGAATATTTAAGAATTTGTATAAAGGGATGGAAAACAGTTTTTAAGGTCTTTTTTAGTTATTTGTGTTAAACAAATAAAAACAGATTTTTTATTATAATAACTGTCATAAAATATATCTGCCGTGTTTATTTTGTTTTAGGTTGGCGTAATTTAATTTGTGAATTAAATCAAATGACTTCTCAAAAAAGTCATGAATTACCTAATTAAAAATTTTACTTTTAATTTCAATTAATTGAAATGGGTAAAAAATGATTCTCGCCCCTTTATTTTTAGAATTTTGATTAAAATTTTATTATAATTTAATACTTTATTCGTAAAATTTACTTAGGTAAACTAAACTCAACAGGGCTGTCATCAAACTGTCAAATGTAAATTTTAAGGTTAATTTGTGGGTTATGATAAATTAACCTTAAAATTATAAAAATTACACAGTGACTAAAGGCACGCTAACGTACCGCGATTGAAAATATTAAAGGCACGTTAGTTACGTCATAACGTGGGTTGAATATTATATTGTTCTATCAGCAATTTTGGCGGAAAATGAAATTTTTACATGAAAAAGAAGGTTTAACGAATATCTATCTATCTAAATAAGTATCACTGTAAAATATAGCCCAGAAATACTAAAAACGACATTATTATTTTGTTCTATGTGCGAAATTCAAATATAAATAACTATTATAATGTTCTAACAAACCAATCAATTAAATTGCAAGTTTTCGAGTTGTCACTGACAGCCTGTCAGAATAACATCTGTCATCGGCAGTTTAAGGAATAGAGTAATTGCATCAAAAATGAAAATCCCTAAAAACCTTTTTATTGTAATCTAGAGGTAAAAACACATTGCGAAAATATTTTTTTATATTCCAAAAGTTCAACCCGGCCCCAAAATATCAAATTGAAAAAAAGGTACTTTTCAAACGTTCCGAACTCCCGCCATATTGCATGACGTCATAAGCTTCACCAGCTGTCAGAAATCAAGATGTCAACAAATAATAAACACCGATAAAGTTTATGTTTAACATGGAAAACGCGAAACCAAAAATTGGTTGTAAATATTGTTTTGTGCCTTGTACAAATACAACCTGGAAAACTCCTGGGAAAAGGTTTATCACCGTGCCAAAAGGGAAAATAAGGATAAAGTGGATTAAAATAGCTCGGCGCGATATCAAAACATCGTCACCATTTTATTGCTCATTTTAAGGATCATTTTAATGTAAGTAAAATAAAATGTCGTTTACTAGGTATATGGTTTGAATAGGTATGTTAAATATTAATAAATTCAAGAAAATACGGCTGAGCCGTAACTACTCTCAGTGTAGGGTCATAAACTTTGCTTTTGATAATTGAACTTTCCCAGGAGTTTTCCAGGTTGTATTTGTACAACAAGGCACAAAACAATATTTACAACCAATTTTTGGTTTCGCGTTTTCCATGTTAAACATAAACTTTATCGGTGTTTATTATTTGTTGACATCTTGATTTCTGACAGCTGGTGAAGCTTATGACGTCATGGAGTTCGGAACGTTTGAAAAGTACCTTTTTTTCAATTTGATATTTTGGGGCCGGGTTGAACTTTTGGAATATAAAAAAATATTTTTGCAATGTGTTTTTACCTCTAGATTACATTAAAAAGGTTTTTAGGGATTTTCATTTTTGATGCAATTACTCTATTACGTCGTAGGTTTTTGCACAATTACACAACAAGGTCAAAATCACTGCAACACTGCACAGTTTAACGGCGGCCATTTTCGTTGTTTACAATTTTTGTGTTTTGGGTTTGTGCTCTGTTTATACAGATTAATAATCGTTTTAAAAGTTGTGTTTCTCATAGTCCTAA